TATTCTATCAGTTAAGTAATCATATAAAATTGACTCAATCCAAAATGATATATATATATATATATGTATATATATATATATATATACTTTTATGATATGGAAACGACACATCATTAACAATTTAGCTTATTATGGGCTCATGGTGTCCAAAAACGTTTTTGGTGGAGAAAAAGTCTAAGTAGAAGATTTTAGAGATATTTTTCCTATTTTATAAGTTTTAATATTTTAATTTAAAAAATTTATTTGGTGGATAATTTTTGGTTTTTTTTTAATTTATTGTTTTATGTATTTAAGTTAAATTATCAACATAAATGTCACATATTTTACGCAACTAAGTTAAGAAGCTTATATATAATGAAAATGTCATCAAAAGATTGAAAAAAAAAAAATTTAAGTTAGTTAATGGTTATATTATTAGTTAATTGACAACTCTGATAGACTGAAGTGATTTAATGAGTAAGATTTCAAATTAGAGATTTTAAATTTGAATTTTGACTTGAGTTGAAAGGGATTTAAAAATAAAAAAAAATTACCTTTTTTATATAAATTATAATCAAATGTGTCAAAAACAAAATTAGTTAATTGACAAAATGATAGAAAGCATACAATTTATATAGTTAACTGACAAAATATATTAATCCTATACGAATAAAACATAACATGTTTCGTCATCACTAACATCACTTTTCTTTCAGATTTTCTAAACAACATTTAATAATTTAATTACAGCAATCATGAAGGTTGGAAAGCGAAGGAGGAACGGACAAACCAACCAACTTTCAACGGACTGTAGACTAGTAATTGAGAAAATAATACCTTAGACCTCTGCCCTAACTCTCATGTAAGCTTTTATCTAAAGAAGGGTTGTTCTAAACCGGCTTTAAACTTAATAGTCCATTCTTAAATCTGAGTACTTGAAGTAACTTACTTAGAAATTTAACTCCTACTTACTCTTTAAAAATTTCACTTTCTCCTATAATTTCTCATATTTAAAAAAAAAAAACAAGAAGGGTTGTTCTATACTAGGTCATGAGGGTACATAACACACATATTTTTTATTATAAATTTATGTTAAAAATAAAAATAAAATTAATTTTTAATTTATTAATTATTTAATTAAATTTATTAATTTGATAATAGTATTAAATTAATGTCAATTTTTACATTTTAATATATATATATTTAGGTAAAAAGATATCCTTAACTTATATCTTAAATCATATACTGAAAAAATTATAACTATTTTACCAAAAAATATATATATATATAACTAAACAATTCCTCCTTGCAAAATATTTGTTAATTTTTAGATAAAAAAGTTTTAAAAATATACTTATTTGTTTGTTTGCCTTTTATCACTATATATATATACTTATTTGTTTTGATTTAATTTAGTTATCTCAATTTATTTGTTTACATTTATTAAAAACTTCATTTAATAAAATAATTAATATTTTATCTTTTCATTTTTATGCTTAATCATAATTAAACAAAAAAACTCTAATATTATCTCTATTTTTAGTTAAAAGTAAAATGAAACTAATTAGTATACCATTTAATTCAACACATAACACAATACATTTATTAAAAAATTATTATCTTTTAATTTAAAATTAAAGATAAATAAATTTAAAAATATAATTTTTCATATAATATGTAAAAATTAACTAAATTAATTATATTTATATTATATTTTAATAATTAAATTAGATAAATGTAAAAAATTACGTTGAACTAAAAAATATGTCAATTATTTTTAAAAAATAAAATTAAAATAGTAATATTTAATATTTTTTTCAAAATAAAAGGAATAAAGGATGGATAACTAATTTGTAATATTTCTATTTAATTAATAAGTGAGAGTACTAAATTAATGCGAGGAAGTATGTTTTTGTCTTTGTCACCCTTAAGAGAGAGAAAAAGGGGAAAAGGGATTTTGATGATAAGATGCGGTATCAAGATGTGCGTTTGATATTATTATAAAGTATTATGATTGTAGTTGTTATTATAATTATGTTGAATTGTATTATATTGTAACTGTGATTAAAAGTT